GTGTGTGTAGGAGGAAAAATTGAAACAAGAATTTCCTTAAGTACTATTAAAACTTCTTGAGAAGGAATGAATGAATGAATGAAATTCATATTTCAATTCTTCCTCCGTGGTCTGATACCCGTCACATTTTTCATCACGTGTTAATTTTCGTGATTTACACACATTATATATATATATATATATATATATATATATATATATATATATATATATATATATATATATATATATAATGATCAACACAACCATCAAGTAACACGCAATTCAAAAGTTTACTAAATGCCATCTGAAACACAAGAAAATAAAATGGCTACAGCTTATTGGCAAACATGCAAATCTCTTGATTTAAAATCATAGATTCGGTATGTAAGAAATACTTTTCTTTGCAGAATATATATTTTTTTTTCAAAGTCAAATTTGGCGGTGAATGCATTAAAGCAGTTATTTACTTGTTTCTAGTTTCACTCGTACACGGCCAGGCATCCATGGTAATCGCCTCATCAGCTAGACTACTGATGTTTGAAAAAAATAGGTGAGGTACATGCTTCCCATCAGGATAAGCATATTAAAATTTATACCATATATAGGCCTATATTGCCTCATATTTGCAAACTATTTTATGTGGATTTCTTCAGACTTGGTAGAAATGTGTAAAACCAAAATATTATCAAAAACAAAAGAAAACTAACTGACCGTACAATTTCAACTGGGATTATCCAGCACATTGTCTGGCACTGGCCTAGAGAACGTGTGCAGTAAGTTGGGCCAAGATCTGTTAACTTGTTATCCTGGCCACGCAAACTTATCGTCTGCTTAATGTGCGTTGAAAACGTTCATTCCGTACAGTAGGTATACAATGCAGTACACGGCCAAATTACAAGTTACAGTATCCTCTTAGTAGGGATACCGAGTGTTGAATAATGAAACTTAAATCAAAGTACAAGTATAAAGTAGGCGTCCATCAGTCTCAGGAGACTATAGAGTTAAGCTCTGGTTGTCGGTCTGGAGTGGCCTTACCAGGGCGCAAAGCCAGGGTAGGTTGATGTGGGGGCGGGGGAGAAGCTGTTACCCAGGCAGCAGGTCGCCCCCTCTCCACGGCGTTGAAAGTCTCCAATGGAGACAATCGTATTGGCGAATGCCAATACGATTGGTTCCAGCGCCGTCGCAGGAACTGAGAGTTCCTGCGACGGCCAAATTGACGGCCGTGTCATTCAGTACAAGTATAATGAATGTAAAATTAAGTTAATCGTTAGTTCTAAGCTAGAGGCCACTTTTTATACGGGAGGGGAAGTTAATTTGGATGTAAGCAAGTATAATTATATATGGCAGACAGCATCCCCCGCCCTCTTAATGTCATGCGCATCTGGTTATGTTTCCGGTGTTTTTTGTATGCCTGAACCACTGCTATGTTGTCACGCACGGTTTTCAGCGTGACGAGAGAATCTACACACACAAGGTACAAAGAAATGCAACAACTCTTGCTCCCGAGTTAGGTTTAGAGGGGAGATAGTTCGACGCCAGTGATCTGTTTGGTTTAGATCACTTGCGCCCATCTGTCTTCTTAATGTACTCTCAATATAAAACAAGGGAGAGACAGCAATGAAATACAGCCCAGTGTCTATAACTTGCATGCTATGCAAGATGAAGATTGTGAGAAAAAGACTAGAACATCTGAAGAGGAGGACTTTTGTTAAATACCACCTGAGCAGGTCCAGGAACAGTAAACTTGCCTCACAGGTTTAAATAAAATTCTATGGCCAGGCAACAAAAATTAAACAATGCAGAGATTGATAGGCAGACTGCACATTTTTGGATTGTCAGAAAGGCTTTGACATAGTATGGGCCATAAGAGACTAGTGAAATAAGTTGGAGAAGAGGGCAGAAGTAACAGGGAAGGTGCTTCAGTGGATATACCTGGTGAGGGGTTCGGGAGTTGTTCTACTCCTCGAGGCCGGCCTGAGGTCAGGCATGACTTGTGATAACTTGGTCCAGCAGGTTGTTGCTTGGAGCAGCCCGTAGGCTCACATATCCACTACAGCCTGGTTGGACCGGCACTTCTTGCAAGAACCTGTCCAAGTGCCTCTTAAATACATCCACCTTCGTTCCAGTAATATTTCTAATGCTTGCTGGGAGGGTGTTGAATATCCGTGGACCCTTGATGTTAAAACAGTGTTCTCTGATTGTACCTATTGCACCTCTACTCCTCACTGGTTCTATTCTGCATTTCCTCCCGTACCTTTCGCTCCAGTATGTTGTTATTCTACTGTGCAAATTTGGGACCTAGACCTCCAGTATCTTCCATGTATATAGGTATTATTTGATACCTTTCTCGTCTCCGTTCCAGAGAGTACATTTTGAGAGCTTTGAGATGGTCCCAGTAATTCAGATGTTTTATCGAGTCTATGCATGCCGTACATATTCTCTGTATTCCCTCTAATTTAGTGATCTCTCCTGCTCTGAAAGGGGAAGCGAGTACCGAGTAATACTCAAGACGGACAGCACTAATGATTTAAATAGTTAGCATTGCTGTGAGTCCCTGGATTTGAACGTTCTCATAATCCATCCTTCATCATCGTTTATCCATAATCCATCTCATATGGTGTCATTTTCCTGGCCGCCACTATATTTGCTCGGTTACGTTCACTAAATGTCAGGTCGTCAGACATCATAATTTCCAGAGCTTTTACATGTTGTCTTCCTTCTATGAATAGGTCTGATTGTGTCCTGTACCCTGTGTTTCGTTTAAGTTTCTCGTTTCCAGCATACCTAAGTACCTGGAATTTACCACCGTTAAACATGTTATATTCAGTTGCACAATCAAATACTTTACTTATATCTGCCTGCAGTTTTTCAGTGTCTTCTACAGTGGCAATTTTCATGCTGATTTTTGTATCATCTGCAAAGGATGACACGAAGCTGTGACTAGTGTTTTTGTCTATATCAGAGATTAGAATGAGAAATAGCAGCGGTGCAAGGACTGTACCCTGGGATACAGAGCTTTTCACTGCACTTGGGCTTGATCTTACTTGGTTGACAGTCACTCTCTTCATTCTGTGACAGAAAGTTGAAAATACAACGCCCCACTTTACCCGTTATTCCTAATGATCTTATTTTATGGGCTATCACTCCGTTATCTTGAGGGTATCTTGAGTTGATTTCGGGGCTTTAGTGTCCTTGCGGCCTGGTCCTCGACCAGGCCTCCACCCCCAGGAAGCAGCCCGTGACAGCTGACTAACTCCCAGGTATCTATTTACTGCTAGGTAACAGGGACATAGGGTGAAAGAAACTCTGCCCATCGTTTCTCGCCGGCGCCCGGGATCAAACCCGGGACCACAGGATCACGTGTACAGCGTGCTGTCCGCTCAGCCCCGTGATCATATTTGTCGAATGCCTTTGCAAAATCTGTGAATACAACATCTACATTTTGCTTTTCCTCTTAGGCTTCTGTGATTCTGCATAGTGGTTGAGTAACTGTGACAGGATCTTCCCACTCTAAATCCCTATTGTCCTAGGTTTTGAAGTTGACTTTTTTTCCAAAAAACTAGAAACTGGATTCCTAATCACTCTTTCAAGAACTTTTATTATGTGTGACGTTAGTGAAACTGGTCTATAATTTTTTGCCAGACCTTAACTATCTCCCTTGTGCAGAGGAACTATATCTGCAGATTTAAGTGCTGCTGGTATCTCCCCTGTATCCAGGCTCTTTCTCAATATTACACTGGGCACTCACACTACTGGTACTTTACATATTGATATGTGAGTACCTAAGCAACAGAAGAGAAAGTTACTGTGAGGCGAGATTTTAGAATAGAGATATTTATCACTTTAGTCCCAGAAGGTTCAGTAGTTGGACCCTAACCAGTTTCTGATATATGTGAATTATCTTGCTGAAGGTAGAGCATCCCTCTAAATGTTTGATAATGATGTAAAAATTATAAGGAGGATTAAGATAGGAAGAAAGCAAGAAACTACAAGATGACCATGACACACTCAAAGAATGGTCCAACTAGAATACTAGAATTTAACTCTAGTGCAAAATAACGAAACCAGGTGTAGAGAACAGGCCAGACACAATGTATCAAATGGAAGATGAAATCCTTCAAGAGAGAAATATGAGGGTTGATATCACCCCAAACCAGTTTCCCAAAATTAATATAAAAAAGATATCAACAGCAGCTGTCAGGGCGCCTGACAGCTGAGTAGGCAGCACTTCGGATTCGTAGTCCTGAGGTTTCCGGGTTCAATCCCCGGTGGAGGCGGAGACAAATGGGCAAAACGTTTCTTTCACCCTGATGCCCCTGTTCACCTAGCAGTAAATAGGTACCTGGGAGTTAAGACAGCTGCTACGGGCTGCTTCCTGGGGGTGTGTAACAAAAAGTTGGCCTGGTCGAGGACCGGGCCGCGGGGACACTAAGCCCCGAAATCATCTCAAGATGACCTCAACATACAGCTAGGTTGGCCAATACACGGCCAATCTAGCCTTTACAAATTTGTGTAAGGAATCATTCAGAACTTTTTATATACCACATGTTAGATCAATCCTGGAGTATGGGACTCCAGTTTGGAATCCATATTAAGTCAAACACAAGATGAAGATACAGAAAGTTCAGAGGTGCTGTATGCCACTAGACTAATCCCAGAACCAAGAGGTATGAGTTATGAAGAAATTATCAAGGTACCAAGCCTGGGATACTATTTAGCACACTGTATCTGTATCATAGAATATAAACAAATTCCTAAATACCACTCGGTATGACAAGCTAAGACCAAAAAGGACATACTGTATGATAAGTGTTGTTATTGGTATGCGATTAGCAAAGGATTTTACCGAGGGATTTTTACTATGCCTCAAAATAATGCTGGAAAGCAAGATTTCTGATTCCTGAAAATTAGGACATTCTATAGGTATGCATCTTAGCAGGACAATGCAAGATAATATGTAAATGCCAAGGAATTCTAAGAGAATCAGAAGCATACAAAATACATGAACAATTACTCACCCAATTCCTCTACAAGGCGGAGCATAACACCACCAATGTGCAGATCACTCTTCACTCTGAGAATTCTCTCCACCTGCAGATCGGTGACTTGGACATGTAGTTCCCATGACCCATCACCGATCAACTGCCCGTCTGCCATCATTTTGCAGGCTATATCGATCTCTCAACACTACACAAAAAGTACCACTGCAGAGCAGGAGTTCCAAAAAGTGTTATCCTTAATAATAGGGAGAGTCCTGGACTCTTGAGCTCATAATCCAAGCTGTACTGTATTTCCCTAGTTGCTGGGTTTGGGTCACACCGCCCACACTATACTGTATTGTCACTGGAACCGATTGTTGAACGTGGATATATAGCTGGAGAAAGACAATAATAAACTAAGTTTTTGGGAAAAATTACTCCCAAAAATAAATAACTTAAGTCACTTTTATACACTTCATGGAAACCTTTTCCTGAATACACTTGATGTCAAAATGGGAGGGTGTGGATCTCATGGATCTCTTTTTAATATCCTACATCCAGATCATATCACTAATTCTCCACTAGATCATTCTCTATATTTTATATTTCTTTAAAGTACTGTATAGTATTTTTCAAGACAACAGTTTAAGTTGAGTTAGAGAAATTATCCGTTTCCTTTCCCCGAAAAAATGTAAATTTTACTACACCCAAGAACAAGTGTCATTTCCATAACACTAAAACACTATACTGTACTCTATTGTGGTTGTACAGTATTGGTTAATTCCTGTTATGAAAAGTAAGTTTTTTTCTACCCCAGCTAGAAAGACTAAGTTTGAGATAGATGAACATGATTTTGAAGGGCTTAACAATTTTTTTTTTTTTTTTTTTTTTTTTTTTGAGATATATACAAGAGTTGTTACATTCTTGTACAGCCACTAGTACGCGTAGCGTTTCGGGCAGGTCCTTAATCCTATGGTCCCTGGAATACGATCCCCTGCCGCGAAGAATTGTTTTTTCATCCAAGTACACATTTTACTGTTGCGTTAAACAGAGGCTACAGTTAAGGAATTGCGCCCAGTAAAAGAAGATGTGACTAGATCTAGGCTATGGATAATGTTGTTTAGTGTATGTGTATAGAGGGCAGAGATGGTCTATGGTATGACTGGCTAACAGTTGTTGAAATGGCTCATAGTATCTAGTAGTGTCAGGAGAATGATGATGCTGAGGGTTATCAAGAATTACTGAGTAAGGTAGACTTTAACAAGGTGTATTACTTATGTAGATTTCCTTTTGGATGCTACATAAAAGAGAGATTGAAGAAATTACATATTTTTACCCTACAATATGGGTATTTTGGGTTGGTGTTGTAAAGACAAAAAGTAATTTTTTTGTTGTAGTTCAGTCGGGCTCATTCTCAACTCTCAATCGAGAATTACGGGTTCGAATCCCAGGTGGGACAAATGGTTTGGCACATTTCCTATCACCTAATGACCTGTTCACCTAGCAGTAAGTAAATACCCAGAAGTTAGTCAGCTTCTTGTGGGGTTGTATCCTGGGGGGTGGGAGTTCAGTAATTTGACCTTGAGAGGGGGGGGGGACTCTAAATAAGCCTAACATGTATATATACGTACACTCTAGCTGTCAACACAATTACAATTATTATTATTACAATTATAAAAATGTAAGAAACTTTGCTCAGATTCTGAGCCATTAGTTTTCAAAACACCGAAGCAAGTTATTAAAATTTGATACTTCAAACATAATAAAAGCAAACCAACCTAACCATAAAAGTGTGTAAAACAGTATTCCTACTTTACCAAATTTATATTTCATCATTTTTGCCAGAACATCTGCACTAATGATGTTTCCCTAATATACCACATTAGCCTAGCACTAGACTATGTTGGTTGAGCAACCAGTAACTGAGGCCAAAAATAACTTATTTATTCCTGGGTAATTTATTTTTGGGGGTAAAGGGGCAAGCATAACACTCCATGCTAGAATGGGCAGTCAGTTAAAGTTAAAAAGTTGTGGATACACTGTAGACAAACTAATGGGGGTCTGCACTATATGAATACAGGGATAATGCAAACTGAATTGTATAAGCAGTGCAGCAATATAATTTTTATTATATTGCTGGAGTAGCCTAGTGTGTATGATTCAGAAATGTTATTTGTTGCCTAGACATAAATCCTGGAGAATGTGCTATGTTCATACAATGCATAACCTAATCATTGAGCCCTAAATTATGCCCAAAAACCTTGGGATAAAATCAATGGTGATACCTCAGAGTTGGGGGAAGGGATCAGCTCTCTGCCAGACGGATCGGTAATTGCAACTTCATTTTTTTTTTTAAATTACCCACTAGAAGCAATAAAAACTGGTAACAAAATTGTAATATAATAGACTAGACTTTACAGAAAAATTTGCTAGCCTTATGAGTGCTCATAACTCTATATCCAAACTAGTTTTTACCCTGGTCTAAATAGATCTAAATTATCTAAATTGTGGCAAAGAGTAGCTCATTCTGAGTGTGCCTTGGAAGCAATGTTGTCTGTGATCAAGCCCTAGCCAGGGACAAATAACTGGATACATGTGCTAACCATTGGCACATTTTTTACCCCCAGAGTACATGGAGAGCTGACTGTATACCAACTGGTGGGTCGTGCTCCGGGGAGCTAGTAGGTTATGGCTATATATGAACTATGAAAATGGAAAATTCTAAGCTTACTAGCAAGAGTCAGAAGTCATCTACTACTGAACCTAACTTTGTAAAAATAAAATAAATAAAGGGCAAGATAAACATGAAAAGTAACATTAGCTGTGTTATTAATAGCTATATTGAAAATCCCAACATTGCATTTGTCTTACTTCAAACATTTATACATTGATGTCTTCAATTAGGATACCCTCCTGCTAATAAGACACCCCAGTGAAATTACCTACAACCAAGGGTGTAGGTAATTTCACCCCTAGGTAAGGATCTTTCAGGAACATTTACAGTTAAATGAGTTAAAAGAATTTTTTTATTAACAAGGTAGTAATTATCCGGAATGGTTTGTCACCATGTTTGGAATAAGTGAATACATTTTCGAGAAACTTGGAGATGAATAGCAAGCAATACCCAGTAATGCCCGAAACGCTGCACGTACTAGTGGCTTTACAAGAATGTAATTACTATGCTATGTATCCTCACAATCCCAATGTACCTTCTTGTATATATACAAATAAATAAATAAAAAGTACACCATTGCTGAGGAAATGAGGCCTGTTAGGCTCGTTTCCATAGCAAGGGGTGAGTCAGTACACACACACTAGGCCTACACTCAGTAGGCCCACTCAACAGGCGGTAAATGAAGATATTAAGTGACAAGCTGATAACGTTTCATCTAGGTAAAAGCTTAGTGTAAAGCTTAGTGCCTGATGACACATTGTCAAGGTGTAAGACAAGTAGGAAAATAGACACGAGTCGGGATTGTCAGACTCTTCACTGGTGGGAAGTATTCCACTACATGTGAACACTTTACCAGGAGTCAACATGACACCGTGGAGGCCGAGGGGTGCCAGGAGGCCGAGGGGTGCCAGAGGAGGCCGAGGGGTGCCAGGAGAGACGAGGGTGTGGAGCACTATCTGTGTACTGGGGGATGAGGCGGCCAGACCCACCAGCCTGTATAAACAACACACTCCCTCCACCCTCCTCAATAGTTCATACACTTCTCACTGTACATCACTGATACACTTTGCTGTAAGCTGACTTATAAACGCATTATTTACATTAACACGCTATGGCAAGGGTGTAGATAGGTCAAGTTGTGGGAGTCGCGTGCGAGTATCCCCCACCCACCGCGTCACCTCGGGCACTGGTGCCAGGGTGGCCACCTCCGACCCGTCACTACCGCGCTACAGTCAGCGGCTTTCGCTACGGTCAGCGCCTTCCTCTAAACCACTATATATTAGCATTTTAAAAGTACCGAATCACCTTCTGTGGTTTATTGTTTAATAAATCCCTGAACTATATGCTTAACTGATCTCTAACCCTGTCCATGGAGGACAGAAGAAAATGTATATATGCTGATTAGCATTGTAAATGTGTGGCCACGTCTGTGGTAGAAAAAAAATGTATTCATAATTAGCACATACATTGATTCTCAGAGTAGCAGAGAATTTTTAAGGTTTATTACTGTTCCCGTTTCTTGTGTGTATAATGTAATTTGCAAGTGGTAAAATGTACAGATGTAATTTATGATATCTCTAATAATAATTTCTGTTGTTGGGGAGGCCTGCCTCTTGCACATATATATACTTCTTATATACTTTTTAAGAAGACGCAATTTCTACGCAATTTTTATTCCACCCCGCGTCCATGGACTCGTCATCATTCTCGACTCCTCGACACTGCCATCACTCGTCTCCGGATTGGGCACACTTGCCTGGCCGCACATCTCCATCGTCTACGGCTGGTAGATTCCCCATACTGCCAGTGGTGTCCGACCCAGGAGGATACAGTGGAGCACCTACTTCACTGCCCTCGATTTCATAGCGCTCGCGTCAGACTACAGAGTGCCGTTCGTAGGCTGAATGTTCCCCACCTCACAGTTCCCGTTCTCCTTGACGGGGCCGGTGCGAGAGACGAAGACGTCCGTCATGACATCCTTCGCCATACCTTCCGCTTCATCCGTCATGTCCCCGGCCTGAAGAGACTGTAAAATTTGTGGCCTGAGGAGATTGTAGGGTTTATGGCCTGAAGAGACTATAGGGACCCCATCCCTCCGCTATTTCCCGGTATCGGGCAGCCGGGGCGCATCCGATCCCACGATCGTCGTCGCCCCTAAATCAACACAATATATATACTTATACATACATGCTTATCGAGCTACTTAGGTCCCCATGCGGCCCCTACTGACCTTCCCCAGGATGCAACCCACAATTCTCCAACTTCCGGATATTTAACTGCTAGGTGGACAGAGCCATCAGGTGAAAAAAACGTGCCTAATGATTACTGACCACCTTATCCAATTGCCGTTGGTTCGATATTAAATCAACGTTGATGACAGTGATTCGGCATTGATTGATTGAATGATTGATGAAGATTAAGCCACCCAAGAGGTGGCACGGGCATGAATAGCCCGTAAAAAAGAATGGTGGAGAAAGTCAATGTATACGGTAAGAGAGTGGGATAAGTGAGATGAAGGAATTAGAGTGAAGTGATAGGCAAGAAGATTAAGCATGAAGAGTTATAGCCCCGCTCCTGAGCCAGGTAAGTCCACAGCGGGCTCACCATAGCCCGTGCTACTAGGAACTTGTTCCGAGTAGCTGAATCTATAACAACAACAACAACGACGAGAAGATTGAGGGGTTAGAGTAAGGGAAGAAGTACAGAGATAGATATTGTAAAGGTTTGAGGAATGGCAATAAGGTAACGTATAGGAATAGATTTAAAGTATGGGAAAAAGATGGAAATATAAAACAGGTAAAAATATAAGAACTATGTAGAAGTAAGGAATAAAGAAACCTACAGAAAGCCAAACGGCGAAGATAATGAAGTGAAATAAAGACAAAGAGATAGCAACTTAGGAGACAGAAAGAAAGAAAAGACAATCTAGAGTAGATATGTCACGCTTATTAAGGTTAGAACATTTAAGTATGTACTGAGGGAGGCAAGAATCAACAGCAACAAAGCCAGGATTATGATTCATGCTGTGTATGAGAGCTGATTCGACGAGACGACATCTGTGAAAAGTAGAGGCAGGAAAGATGATTTTAGAAGAAGACCAATCTATAGGATTCGTAACGTGATTGAAGAAAGGGAGGGAATTATCAGGGGAAAGCGCCCAGCAATTTCGACTATACGTACAGCACTTGGAAGGGATCAGGACAAAGATTTGGGATGGGACGAGGGAAATGGATTGAATTTGTTTGTCTGCAGACTTAACACTCCTTTATGCGCTAACACTTATTTGTGTTCTTTTAGTCTGTTATTCAATGTATGGCCAGTTTCACCAAGGTGCTGAAAAGGACAAGAAGAACATAAACTAGAATTAACACCAACAGCATTGGAAGCAGAAGGAGCAGTTTGAACTGTATGTACTACGAAGTGTGCCGAGAGGCGAGTTCTAAATTAAAAGGACGAAGGGTATCGGTGAGATCTTTGAGTTCAGATATGAAGGGGTCATTCAGATCCCAAGACTGTGATCTCATAATAGTCTGATGAGATCGAGGAAGATGATGAAGGTCCTTAGTCGCCTGGAAAGGAAAGAGAGGGTATCATCAAAGGGGAAAGTTAGTAAACAACTTTAAAGTGCTGTAATCAACATCAAGATTAAACATCTTACAGGAGGATAGATGGAGAGATAGTTGGAAAGAAAGATGGATGAATAGATGGATAAATAGATGGGAAAATAGAAGGATGGGATGGATAGATAGATGAACGGATAGATATATGGATGGATCTATGGCTAGATAAATAGATGGATGAATAGATAAATGGCCAGATGGGTGACAGACACAGACCCGGGCAACGCCGGGTACCCCTACAGGTACCCCCAGAGTTGGGTAACTAATGGGGTTACATTCTAGGAAAGATCGGTTGCTGGCATACGTCTGAGACTTTGATAAGCATACATGCTCCTTATTTTTGGATATGGGAAATATATTAAAAAAAAAATGTTATTTTTGTTGTTGTTGTGAAATATGCTACAAACAGCAGAATAACGCTAGCTATGGTTGCACTGAATATTTCTTTAAATTTGGCAGTAGGTAATCATACCACTAAGTGCTCCAATATTTATATTTATAGTGTTAAGAAGGTCTTGCATTACTGTTTTACGTGCAATTGTATATTGATGACGTGCTTTATTAAACTAAATGCATTATATAGGTTAATGGTTAATATGGATTTTATATATCATAGTTATACCATTATCCCATGCTACGCCATAGAAAACGAGGGATGATCGTGACTGACTTCAGCAGATTTTTGTTAGTATACAGTACTGTATGTTATAACAGAGATTGGCTTTAAATTTTATATTACTATGAAATTAAAATATAAAATAATTAAATAAACAACTGGAAATCTGAAACTACTAGCATACGTGTATTCACCTAGTTGTGCTTGCGGGGTATATTGGGCTTGCCCGAAACGTTACACGTGCTAGTGACTGTACAAGGATGTATGAACTCTTGTACATATAAATAAATAAAATAAAATAAATAAATAAAAAGCTTGGGCTCTTTAGTCCCGCCTCTCAACTGTCAATCAATTGGTGTACAGGTTCCAGAGCCTATAGTTGGCTATCATATTTACATATATTACATATCATACATACTACATATCTACATGCTTCATTCAAAAACAAAAACAAAAAGTACCTAATTTTCATCTTCATGGTTTCCTACCTTGTGCTGTAAAATTGCACTATATCTATTGCTACCCAATCTTTATGTACCTAATCCAAACAACTTTACCATTGTGATCATTACTGTCTCCTTATATGTGCTATCAATGTGCTGTATTATGCCTATTAATCTTTGTTAAATTACCAATCAAGCTGTCAATGCAATCAATCGGAGCTACTGATGTGCTTTATTATACCTACTAATCTCTCTTATCTCATTTTTTTTCTTGCAATGTACCTGTTATCATTTTATAAATTTTGCTGGAATTTACCTACTTAAAATTATCTGTTAGATTAAGGACCTGCCTGAAACACTGCGCGTACTAGTGGCTTTACAAGATTGTAAAGGCCATGCTATGTATCCTCACAAACGCAATGTACCTTCTTGTATATATATATATAAAATCAAATCAATAAAATCAATTTGAAAGTGTGAATTGAGTCTGCCTCCACCACATCACTTCCTAATGTGTTCTATTTGTTAAGCACTCTGACAGTGAACAAATTCTAACATCCCTGTGGCTCATTTCTTGAGGTTATCTTGAGATAATTTTAGGGCTTTAGTGTCCCCGCGGCCCGGTCCTTGATCAGGCCTCCACCCCCAGGAAGCAGCCCGTGACAGCTGACTATCTCCCAAGTACCTATTTACTGCTAGGTAACAGGAGCATCAGGGTGAAAGAAACTCTGCCCATTGTTTCTCGCTGGCGCCCGGGATCGAACCCAGGACCACAGGATTATGCGTCCAGTGCTCTGTCCTCTCAGCCACCAGCTCCCTCGAAATCCATTTGGAAACTAAGTTTCCACCTGTGTCCCTTTGTTCGTGTATCACCCATGCTATATAGTTTGTCTTCTATGAAATTATGACACCAGCTCTTCACATGTTAGTTGCTTAATTTAGAAACTGTACTTGTGGTCGATTTCAAACCCATTGATGATGTGACGACGTATATTTAATTTTGTAACTAGCCCATCAAGATTGTAACACCCTTAGCTAAATGAATTGTGGGGTTCAGTCCCTGAGCCCATTATGTGCCTCTGTAACCATTTCCACTACCACCCACATGATGGGTATGGGGTGAATAATAAATGAACTAACCTTAAAAACTACCCAGTCAATTCTTTTGACAGGGCCCCGAAAAATTCTTATAAAATGAGAATTTTATAAGTGGTATTCATATCTTACCTAACTCTTTTTGTCTTCCAGTCATGAGGTTTAGTTCCAGAAATCTTTCCTTGTAGCTCATGTCTTTCAGCCCAAGGGCTAACCTGGTTGCATATATACCTCTTAGCTTTTTCTAACTTCATTTTCTGTTTGACTAGATATAGATATAACACTGGAGCCACACATTCCAATATTGGTCTGCCATATGAGGTATACAAGGTTTTGAATGATTCCTTACACAAGTTTCTAAAGGTAGTTCTTTTGTGCTATGGCACCTCGCATTTTTCTGCATCTTGCCTGGGTCATGGTGACCCGTCTGCGCCTGTCAGGTGTTCAGATGTTGGCCTACCTCGACGACTGGTTGGTGTGGGCTCCCAGCCAGTCTGCATGTTTGCTTGCCAGGGGTGTGTTTCTTTTCCAGCTCGCTGGGTTCAGGTCCCTGGTGAACTGGAGGAAGTCCCATTTGGTTTCGTTCCAGATTCGAACTTGGTTTGGCCTTGTTTGGGACTCTCTGGCTACATCCATGTCTCACCCTCCTGTTGCGTTGGTGTAGCTGCAGTCTCGCCTTCTGCTGTTCTTGAGGGGGTCCTGGGTCACTTGGTGGTTGCTTGAGCTGTTGTGCGGGAGTCTGCATTTCGCCGTGCTGGTTTTCCCGCTGGGTTAGGTCTTCAGTGCCTGTTCTGGTTCCTTTGGGGCCCTCCCTTTCACCTCTCTTGCGACCGCTGAGTGCGTTCCCAGTGGACCTTGCATTAGCTGCTGCATCGCTGGCTTCCTCTTTGGGTTTTTGGGGTTCAGTGACTTGGTGCCTTCCGGATCCCTTGCTCGATGTCTACACGGATGCCTCATCCCTTGGTTTGGGCTTTATGACCAGTGTTCACCGAGCCTGGCAGGGGCGGTGGGCTCTGTCCTTCATTCAGTCAGGCTCAGAGCACGGTGTTGGAGTTCGCGGCAATGTGGCTCTCACTGCAGTGGATTCGGCTCGCTCGGGGCTCTACGATCGGGCTTCATTCAGACTGCACCTCTGTGGTCCATTGTCTGACCCACGGGAAGGTCACTTCGGTCCTTCGCTCTTTGAGGCTGGTCATTTCGAGTGGCTCATCTGCTGGTTTTTGGGAGTTACCTGTACATCTTTCCCCCGATCCAGTTTTTTTCAGGTTCTGGCTCAGTTGTAATCCTATCATTGAAGAGTTCTTGTAGTTCCTTGGTGGCCAGCCCAGCATTGGTTTCAGACGCTGCTTGCTTGGTGTCTGTACCCGGTGCATTTCCCGCGGCTGTCCTCTCGGGGCGGGGAGGGCTGCACAGACGATCGGCGCGGTAGTAAAGTGTGATGTTTGCTTGTTTCCTTGTGATTGTAGGGAGTTTTACCTCTCTGTTCAGTTTTTTGTTTTAGTTTTTTACCATGTGGGGTTTGTTTTGTTATGCCTACCTTTCTGGGTGCCTAACCCTGGTCGATGGCAGATACGGAAAACCCTAAACACAAGGGGGTTTTCCAGGGCCATTGCTCCCTGAAACCTCTCTGAAGGGGCCAGGTTCTGGCGCTGGTCCCTGGTAGGTCTGAACTCCTTAGCTAATGTCCCGGTCTAATATAACATACATTAGCCCGATAAGCTCCAGGAACCCGTAGGGGTTCCCCACAGAAAATTATATGAACCAAGTTTTGGACCTTTTCCACTAATTGTTACTGTGGGTACTAATTGTATTTTAAAAAATTTCGTATATAAATTTACAACAATGGGAGGGAGAGAAAAACCCAAAGCCATACCAAACTTTTGCTTGAAAGCCACACCATCAAAAGTAAAATTGATGTTTTCTACAAAAATGTTAATGAGCTCTGAAAATAAATCACTAGGGATAGGAGTAACAAAATGACTTGCTAACTCTTGTGCTCTTAAAAAATATAATATTTTATGTAAAGATACATTAGTGAAACATGCAGTGACATCAAAACTAACCAATTTAATTTTACCAGTTGGGCCTTTGTTCTTTAATTTCTCAATAACATCCTGGGAATGAATAATATGTGATTGCCTCTTCCCATCGACAGGTCTTGCAGGGGAGAACAAATCTTATGAGCTGCCCAAAAAGCAAGGTGACTATCGAGAAGTCACCTTGAAGTCATAGAGGAGGAAATCCACAATCCCTCAAAGCATGGAGACCTCTGGTGGGGTAAAATGAAATGCAAGCCATTCCCAAGGAACTCTAAAATGGAATGCTAGTGCACACCCAATATGGGTGGCATGAACACTGTTATGAAGCATAAAGAAAAATAATTAAAGTAATGTCCTCTGGTAGAACAATCTTCCAGAGAAAGCCAGCACCACTTAACTGAAAGTGAGGAGGAGGTAAGTATTTATGAGAAGAAGACACCCAGCCCGAAACACTATTTAGCCCCATCTGTGGTAGAAAACAATAATAATACCCTATAGATATAATTTAGCATGCCAATGCAAGAGCAAAATCAAACATACTGGGTAATTAATGATTTCAAAGGTATTGGATTCACAGAGGATTTTTATCAAAGGGCAAATAACAGGAAGAAATATTAGGAAAGCAAGGTGTCAGATCATCCTCAAAATTAAGGTGCTTAGTGGTTAGTGTGAAAATTCTATTCTGACAGTACAGCACAGATCTTTGTTCCGTTACGTGCCTCGAGTTAATTGTGTTACCATTATACAGTATAACATAACCAGAACTATTTCCCACCTCCTGTTATGTGGGTAGGAGGAAAGACATCCAGATAGGTCACATTGATTAGTACCCAGTTTGTTATTGGAAATACATAACCATCTATTCCTCCAACAGTTGTGGATCATGTTATGAATGGTGGTAGAAATCTGAGTAAAGAATTTGTTTCAGATGCACAGTATAGGGCCAAAGTGAGGAGGGGGGGGGGGTAGGGGGATGGAAGGGTGGTTGAGACACTTCAGGTGACCTGAGCTTCCATCTGGTGGTGGTCAGGCCCCATCACAATTCAACCTGTCTTCTTACTAAACTACATTTTTTTACACAATCAAACCCGGCATAAAGAGTGCTGTGGTTTAGGGAAATTAAAATGACTGCAATATTGATACTTCATGGGCTTAATGATTATCAGCTGAAGTAGGTTAGATGAGTTGATGAGTTGATTCCAGTTAGGCTAAACCACTGAATTTTTTATGGAGGTTACCTTGAGGTTTTTCCAGGGCTTAGCGTCCCCGCGGCCCGGTCGTCGACCAGGCCTCCTAACATTATTGCCAACAGCATTTGGTGTTCCCAGGCGGTCACCCATCCAAGTACAAACCCAACCCAACGTTGCTTAACTTCGCAGATCGGACGAGAAGCGGTGTTCTCAACGTGGTATGGCCGTTGGCCATACCACGTTGAGAACTTGTTTGTGTGCAAATATAGTGTTCTCAAATATTATGGCTGGATGTTCTCCATACCACTTATCATACCATACCATACCATATCATACCATACCACTTATCATACCATACCACTTATCATACCATACCACTTGGCCATGGTATGGCCGTTGGCCATACCATGGCCAAGTGGTATGGTATTTATGGAATGGAAATAGAAAACATAGGCTTCACAGCAATGATCATTTGCATTGTTTATCTAGAGGTGACTAATTTCTTTCTGTCAATTGCTTATTTTGTACCACCATTATTTTCTGACAGGTTTTCCCAATTTTTTGTGGTTGATCTCTGATTTCTTTCTTCCATCACTTCATATAGTGAGCCAAGTCCTAGCTTCCAGTAGGCAATGGGTTGGTCTCTGAGAACTCTTGCGCTGCTAAGGCTTAGTGGTACCATAGCTAAGCTTGAAGGGGTACTTCTCAGTTCTTAGAAACATTCAAGATTCCAAACAAATTAGATAATAAACACCAGCTTAGATGTCAAATGACATAAAAGGCAGAATATACTACAGGAATTACTTCTCTCAAATTCATAAATATCAATGGAACATTATCTCCTGAAGATGATGCAGCAAGAACAGCAGTAAACTTGAAAACATATCTGGGTAATACTCTTCAGACAATGCAGATAGTTTGAGGAGTGCCCTACACATGTAACAGGTTTCATGTCTACTAAAGGCAGAGTTTGTCACATACATTTAAGAAAAAATAAATGAGTGTTGTCTGATACAGCCAACCTCACAAGACAGCATGACTCAGGGAGATGCTCCAGCAAGTCATATCAAAGGCTAGTCTGGTCTCACTCCTTGAGCATGTAACAACTTTGTGCCTTTTGTTCCCTCCATAGGTTCGCACATAGTACTTAACAATATTGTATAATTATTGTGACCAGTGACCTGGGAATAGGCTGGGTGTGGAATCAACTCTGCGATTACAAATTTAATGTCTTATACATCCACCAGACCAGGGCTAAGCACTTCAATCACAATAAGTATAATATTAGAGTATGTACTGTACAGGCCTAAGCAGGGAGTGAGAGGCACAGACAATGTTGCTACATGCTCAGAGGGTGAGACCAGGTTAGTCTTTGTTTGGAGTTCTTGGGTCGTCTCCTAAGTTACTCTGTGATGCAAGGGTAATCACAGCAGATGACACTACAAACCTATTGATACAAGATATATACAGTAGCTACAATCTGAGCTATGAAAGTTACTTTGCAATGGTTCAGAGAAATAGGGGATAAATACAGTACATACTGTAAATGGAAAAAGGGCTTCATAATGGCAAAAAACCTGCATTTTAGGAGATAAAAGTAAAAGAATATGATGTATTATTTAAGTGTTCTCTGGCATAACTTAGGATGTTGTTCCATTTACCTGGGCTGTATGGGTCTCAAACCGTGAACCCCATGTGTGTTAGGCTGACACTATCGACTATAGAGCGTGTCGCCCTCACATGCATGGGGTCCATGGTTCTAGACTCATACAGCCCAGGTAAATGGAGTGTTTATTTACCCAGAAGTGTGGATGACAATTTATTTTTATGATGTTGTTGTTTTGAATTCACACATTATTAATAAGGAAACCTTTAAAGTTGTCACCTTGACAGTCCAGACATTTTTGTCTGTTTCTACAGCGTCTGGAAGCATGATGACCAAACCACAACTCAGAAGATGGAGAAGCGATGACATTTTAGTCCATCCTGGACTAAATGAGTCCATCCTAGACTCCATTATCAAGTCGTGTCTCTTAAGGTCCTCTATTTGGAATAACTGGAAATGTACATGTTATATTTGTTTAATTAAATGTCCTTGACCTTTAAGTCATTTTCTGTTAAAGGATTGAGGACAAATTACACAATAAGAAGAGGGAAGTAGCAACAAAACATCATTTTTATGTAATGGCAAATGAATATAAAATACAGTTGAAAGTATTTTATTAGCAACAAATTATGAATGGTCCTATTGGTTGAGTAAGAAACGTCCATCCTCTCACAACATTTGTAGGATATGAACATATACTCCCAGAGACAGTAGTTCAGTGGCTTAGGTAAGCTTTTGTTTAATTAATGTTCAAATTTCAAATTGTAATGTTTCAAACTATCAAGAGGTTGGAATGTTACCAGTGCATGAATTAGGGTAACAGCTGAGGGAAACACACAAACATAGCTCAACAGAGGTTTATTATTGTGAGCAGTGAAGGCTCTTGGGGTTTTCAGGTAAGTCTGGGCCTTACCTGGCCTCATCTGCTGCACTCAATGATATATTTCACCAGAAATACCATTGAGTAAGTTAAAATAAAACCTAATGTACCTAGGAAGGCATTTAACGATATGTTCCCAACCCTAAAAGCATCCCAACTCTAGCAGTACTTCAGCACAGAAGTAAGCTGAATTTATTTGTCTAATAATAAAAGAACAAAATGAACAATTATCTGGCAAAATAAGTACCTGGAAAATGATAAAAAGACTTTGGTAGTGTCACTTGTGTTGGATATTAAAGCTTGAGTTAGTCCTGCACCAGCATACCTGGTGGGTAGGATACTTACCATTTAAAGGTATTTTCAATAAGACGTAACACTCCCAGATAACGGCATAAAATGCCCGTCTTATGCTAAAAATACCTGAGGCAGGTGAGTTACCCTAGCTAGCTGCATGAACCCATGGGTTCGCTATCACGGGTGCCAGCATACGGCACCATCTAACTATCACACTGTGGTCATAACCACTTTGTCAAGAATAATTAAAAATATACAAAACTATATACAATACTGTACACATCATTTCTTGTCCTTTGCATTATCAGGACTATCTGGGAAGAACACTTTGGTGATGACAATGTCGCCGGTACTGAGAGTCTGGCACTGAGCATCAGCCTTACTGGTGAAGGTTGACATAGAGGTCACATTGTTCAGAGAGTGAGGTGGTGAGGTCTGTGGGGATATAATTAGCCCTTGAGAGTATCCATGACAATGGCAACAACATGAAGCAGGAGGACTGTTAGCATTAATGGCCACAGGAGATGAGGCACCGGAAACCTGGGTAGCTGCAGCCAAAATGGCTTCTAAACGATCAATCTTTTCAAAGCGGTCCATTGCTCCATTACTTAATACTTGTTCCACCATGTTCATACTGGTAGTGAGGGATGGTGACCCACCATAGCTATCACCATCACCATCACCATCACAACGTGGAGATAAAACACCTCCTGATCCGCCAGATCCTCCAGAACCTATGCTGCTCAAACTAGGATATTCTCCTTCCTCTACACCGTCACGTTCATCATCGTCATCATCGTCACTATTTTCATCCTCATCCTCGCCATTTTTGTCAGGAGATTCGTCTCTGGAAAGATAGATTATTTAAATATTATATGCTGCAACAACTGAAGCTAAAAGTATCTAACTGCCATTCTTGTAGCAATTCACCCTACTCTCTTTCTCCTCATTATGCAATCTAAAGTACTAAAATACTTGTTACCTGGCCCCAACATCATAATACTATACAACACAATCTTGTGCTACTAACTGTTACTTTCTAACCTAAATAATCCATCTCTAGTATCTTTTTTTATTCTTTGTCTCCTTCCCTGACTCCATGCTCATAAGGCTCTGTTCTCCCCATCCCATGTTGCCTGTGTGGCCCTCACATGCCACCTCATGCCAATGCCTATGCTGTGCCCACATTTTTCTTGTCTGCCTTTGCTGTGCCACACAAAGCCCTCTGCATGCCTTTCCCACCCTACCTTCCCTCCTGATTCCCAACCCTGTCTTGGCCCATCCCCCACCTGGGCAGTCCCTGGGGAACATGCGAGGTCCCTGAGGTGGTCAAGGTCCACTTCAACAACTCGGTGATGCCCCACACAGGCCATGCTTTATGCCTCGCCAGCAGGCCCCCTGGTGTTCAATGGCGAGGCCCTGTTACTCCATGGAAGGCCAGGCCCTGGGTGGTTGGGGGCTTTACAAGAAGGAGCCTCCTAGTCCCCTGGTCAGTTCAGGACCTCGCAAGATGAGCCCTCATCACCTGGTTGACTGTCCTTCCACCCTGTTACCTGGCTGTCTCCACCAGCCTGTTTTTTTTTTTTTTTTTTTTTTTTTTTTTTTTTTTTTTTTTTTTTTTTTTTTTTTTTTTTTGAGATATATACAAGAGTTGTTACATTCTTGTACGGCCACTAGTACGCGTAGTGTTTCGGGCAGGTCCCTGGAATAGGATCCCCTGCCGCGAAGAATCGTTTACTCTGTTATGTGGATACTCTGTTATCTGGCTGTTTGATAACAGGATATATATGTAGTATGTGGTATTTTGCCACCTTGTTATCTGGCCTTCTTCACTAGCCTGTTATCTGGCCAGCTCCACTAATCTGTTATGTAGATACCCTGTTATCTGGCTTTATGATAACAGGATATATGTGATATGTGGCATCCTTAGCCTGTTATCTGGCCAGCTCCACCAATCTGTTATGTAGATACCCTGTTATCTGGCTTTATGATAACAGGATATATGTGATATGTGGCATCCTGCCACCCTGTTATCTGGCCATCTCTGACAGTCTGTTCATACGTGGCTGCCTCTGCCTCATTTTCTGGCTGCCTCATCATCCTGTTATCTGGCCGTCTCCACTAAACTTTTGTTTGGATTCACTGGCAATAAAAAACCCTGTTATCTGGCCTCTTCACCTTCCTGTCTATGGCTTTCTCTGCCATGCTACTCTCCTTACTTCCTTGTCCTTTTAATCAGCTGGATTCACCACTGTCGTCCTCCTTTCTTTCTGCCTGCCTGTTATGTGGCTGTTCTGCTACACTGTTACTTCGCTTTTCTTCTTTCTTGCTTCAGGCCCTGCTGGCTGTTCTACTAGCCTGTTATATGGCTGCCTCTGCCTGCTGCCTCTCAGCCACCCTTCTTCCCCACAAAAGAGGACATCACTCTCTGCTCCAAGACATCACCGCCAGCACGTTCACTGGCCACTCAACCCCCTGTTATCCGGCCACCACTGTCAGTCTCCTCTGGCCTTCCTGCCACCTACTCCATGGCTGTGCCCCTTAGTGGCCACGCATCTCCTTGCTTTCGGCCACTATACTAGACGGTGGAGGATCATGGTGGCATTTTCAGATCTTATCTATTTTTATCAGCTCTGCCATGTTTACAGTTCCTGGCATTATTATTATATTTATTACTGGGTTCATGGGGCCAGGCTTTTTTTCATTAGCCCTTAAATGCCATTTGCAGTTCTTTTGTGAGATCAGTGAAGATAAATGTTTTTATCTGTATTTATTTGTATTATTCTATTCAACAATTTATATTATCCTTATGTCATTATGTTCTTCCTCTTTGGTATACTTTCATCTGGTGTTTACTGCTTTCTTCCTTCCCACTCAAGCAAGGGAAAGCCTGCACAACTCCTCTCCTTTTTATGGTTACTTATCTTTCACTTAATGTCCATGCTCTACTTTGCTTTCCTGCACTGCCTCCTTCTTCCTTAATGCAAGCAATTCTCCCTGCTGGGTATTATTCTGCTTGCTTTGGTCTGCTCAATTTCTATTTTTGTCCCATTGTGTCTATGTCCTGGTTTAGTAGCATGTTAGCCTTTATTAAAGCCAGCTTTCCCTACAGGCCTGTTCTCCATTATGGACAGCTCCATATACTAGTCAACTCTGCCTCTGCCGCTCTCTATTATGCAAACATTCTCATTTGCAGCCCCCATCAGCTCTTATTGTCAGTGGTAGTTTATGTCATTTACTACTGACTTCTTTACTATGCAGCACTTATTAAGCAGCTCTCTACAGGCCAGTTCCCATGGGAGCCAGTCTTTAACGAGTCCCTTTATTAGAGCCATTCATTGTTTAGGCAGCTACTTTCTGGGGCACAGTCTAATTATGTAAGCCCCTTTTAACCACTGGACTGCACTGGCCGAGTAAATTCATTTACCAAAAATGGTGCAGACTGAGAAAACACCAATTTAAGATTTCGTACCCATTCAAAATGTGCCATCGGTAGGTTGGGTGCGAATGGACTCCTGGGACCTCCAGTAAGAGGTAGCCATCTAAAAAAAAATTCCCAGATTTCCCTAGCGCTGCTGGCTGGATCAATTCTGAATGAGTAACCATGAGTGGCACACGTGCTTCTTCTTCTTCGCTATATGTGCAGTATGCATGAAGGTTCTTCTTCCCGATGACAGCACGAGTGATAATATAGCAAGATGCAGCACGCACAGCAGCACATCAATGGTCAAGATGTAGTAGAGGCGGGAAGATATCAACGTCTTCTATGTGGGCAAGGACAAAGACAAAATAAACAGACGGGAGGAAAGGGACTCAGGACAGGAAAGAGGAGGAGTTGCATGAAAGGTGAAAGCAAAATGTCACCGAACTATAGAAAGTGTGGGATGTAGGCAAGAGACGGCAGTGGGGAGGTGAAGGATATTTGGGAGGCAGTCACTAATTAGTTATGAGAAAGGAAGGGAAGTGCGAGCACATGAAGGAACACAGGATGAACGAGTAGGTTAGAGTAAGTCAGGTTAGGACAGGGTAGGTGAGGACAGGGTAAGACATGTTGACAGATTCCGGAACTTTATGTCTGGGACACAATCGCATCGGTCTTCCTAGACATGCCAGTAGGACAGCGTGAGGAAGACCTGGGAGTGGGGTGATGATACGTCGCAGGAGTGCGAGACATATGTAGTTTGTCAGGCAAAATGGCAGGGTGCTTGGAAGTTGGGACAGCAGAGGATTGCTTCTGCTTAGTGCCGGGGGTCGGGGTTTGCGACAAGTCAGCCTGGGAAGTGACTCGGGCAAGTGCCAAGATGTTATCAAGGGCGGTTTCCAGCATCAGTTGAAACATTTTGGAGACAGCAAGGGTAGCTGTGGGAGGTTGTATGTCAGGCAGAGTAGATGCGGAGGAAGGGTGTGGTGGGTCGGCCTCAGGAATGGGATGGACAGACTGAGAAAAGAATTTAGTCAGGAATCAAGCCAACATCTTCTCGAGTGCATCCACAATGCGAATGACAAGTGTGTCAAGATCGGGACTCAGTTGCACAGTTCGTGGGAGAGGATTGGACTCTGGGGTTATAGGAATGTCAGTGACAGATCAGGCACAAGCAAAGGGGGGCCGGCGGAGTGTAATGTAGTGGCTGATGACGGACATTGTTGGGTCATTTCAGAACACGATTGTATTGCAGGTTGATGCCGGGAAGAGCCCGAGTTTGTGCCGTGATGTACAAAGGACATTGTTTGAATGTAATGTCATGAGCATCACCACAGTTTGAGCAGCAGAGTATATCTGATGTACAGTCACGTGTGTAATGGGACCCAGAGCATTTCCCACATTTGATGTCATTGGTGCAGCCTTTTGAGGTACTGTATGGTGATAACCTTTACATCAAAAGCACTGAGTGGTACTGGGAATGTACACCTTTAGTTTATGGAGGAAGCCATCAATCCAGACCTGATCAGGGAGAAAGTAGTCTAGAAAAGTAAGTAGGGGAGTGCCGGTATCACTCAGTTCTCCATTTGTCCTACTCATAAATTTCCTGACACTGAAGATTGGAATGTCAGCAGCCTGAAGGTGTGCCTTGATGTCGTCTGCACTAATGTCAACATGTCAAACCACATATCTTGCCAACTGGTCACCCAGTAGTTTGTAGCGTCTGACTTTGTAACCACGGATTTCAGTAACATCCGAAAGCACTAGGTCCTCGCTGTGATTGTTGTCCTTTGCAATTAAATTCCTTCATTTATTCAGTCGATATAGTGCACCTAGATCTTAGAGAACTTGGAAATAGCATGATAGAGGAGACTTTGTGCTCTGCCATTTCCAAAAACACTCCTATCAATGGACGTATTGTCATCAAAGGCAATGATAAACGTTTGTAAACTAGGAGAATTTGCCCTACTTGTGAGTGAGTGAATTTGCCGAGTGAGCGGAGGATGTTAATACTGAGGCCAAGTAGGGCAGGGGCAATCATGGGGTACCCCAGGATGCTGGTAGCATTTTGCCTCCAATCTGTTCACCTTACTGTGGTATGTGAACTGTCCAGGAAAACCCCCTCAGGATCACCCTCTAAGACCAGAAGAGCATCATGATCGGATTGTGTGCCATGTAACAGTGGGTTTGGAAAACCTTCAAAGGTATCTGGAATGTCGCAAGGAGAGATGCTGTGCACACCTTCAGCCGTCACCATGGTTGGCCTTGTCTGCCGCACGCGCTTCTGGCTCCCAACCCCCTGTCAGATGTGGTGTTGAAAGATCGCTCTCCGTTGGTGAAATTCAGACCTTATTGTTTAAAGAACATAGGGGTCATGATATTGATGAAGCTCGGCACAATAAGGACCTGACACAAGGGTCAGATAAAAGTGATACAGTACCAATGAGAACGATACAGCGAGCATATCCAGTAGTGGCTGAGCGCCATGCATGCCCACCCATGTCATCTCCAATTTTTATAGATGATACTGTAGATGAATCGTTTTCTAGGTTCAATGATGATGCGACTGATACAAGTAGTATAAATGAACAGGGTGTTAGCAGCTTCCATGGTGGTGTTTATTGCCAGTGGTGGTGGTGTCGGCAATACAAGGAGCATGGGTGAATTCGCGAGGGAGGACTGTGATAATTTTGTAACAATAACCACAATTTGATGATTCTGATGTTGGTGTTGCACCCACTTTCCCATATACAGGTGAAGATATGAGTGATATCAGGACAGAATTTTGTCACTGAACTTTTCCTAGATATTTCCAAGAATACCTGGATTTTCTCAGTCCTACCTAGCAAAGGGATCATCTCAAGAATACCTGAATCTTTTCAATCATACCTTACAAAGTGATCTTTTCAAGACTACCTTACAAACTGATCTTATCCTATAATCTTTTCAAGACTACCTTACACTTTACAAGCTTGGCTACATAAAACCTACAGATAATAAAGCCAAGGGTGTACGTGAGTGCGCTATTTGCAAGCATACAGAACAAAGAAACAGGAAGCAAAAATCTGCTTGTACCTGGTGCATCGAGTGCGAAGTTGCGCTGTGTACCATGGACTGCTTCTTTGATTATCACTCACTTCCGAAGTACTGAGAGTGTAACACAGTGTGTGACTTTATAAATAGTATGTGAAAGTGTACATATTGTAAATATATTGAATATTGAACAGGTAATATTGCACCAATGAACATTTGTTGTGAACACATTACAGTATCAGGAATTGAATGTGGTGTGACAGCGGACATAAACAGTATCATATTAATTATTGTGTAACAGAGAATATCTTCAAGAGTGGAGTGAACAGTGAATTAAAGGCTACAAACTATTGCAGAGTTGATGTAATATATTTATATTCATGTGCAGTTGATATGAGATTTGGTTTAGAGCCTCATAATGGACAATTTTGAAACAGTGCAGTATTGCCAGATGGTGAGATACATTTCCAGTGTTGTCATCTACTGATGAAGAGAGAATTTTGCAGATGGCATAGTGTAGCCTCTTATTGAGCAAATCAATTAGATTTTACTAGTGTTTCCTTCCACCCCTTCATTCCTGGTGTGTTGTTGTGAGAAGTTACTGGGCACCACACTGTTATTGTGAGAGTACTAGACTGGGAGAGTTAATGCACCACTGAGTTTGAAGTAGTATTACTTGGCCGTGAAGTACAGCGAGTCAAGTGGGCGACACAGAAGAGAGACCTTATGGACGGGCAACCCGACCTAGGTAAACCTTGAGTTTCTGTGTCCACGGATACCCCAGTGAAGAAACTAGGGTGTGGTCGGGTTACTTCACTCCCTTCAGGGTTCAAGACTGGGTTCAGTGGGGAACTCTGCCCCGCAGGTCAACTGAGGTGCTTCCCAGGGGTGAACAGTGGCACTTAGGGAGGGGAGGGGAAGTAAGGCCCCAGCAGTTTCTAGAGGAATAGTGACACCTCTTAAGGCAGGGAACGCCGGAGTGGGAATTGGTTATTCTGTCGGGCTGACTGGTTGGGGGACAAAGACCCATCACATTATTTATATGAATGAGTTTGGGTGGATATAAATAGAAGCTGCCTCTTCTGGACCAATAGGCATTATGTAATTTCCTTAGTTTGTATGTTAGTATGAGTGAGCTTGGGTGGATATAAATAGGAGTTGCCTAGTATGGGCCAATATGCTTTCTGCAGTTCCTTATTATTATGTTCAAATAATAATTTGTTGACCTGGTATATTTCATTACAACCAAATAGAGCTGTGAAAACCATATGATCATAATTGGTACGTATACATATCATGTATGGTAATTATAATGAAATTTTACTATGATGACTACTGCATTGGCATAGTAACATTTGCAACAGTAACAGCATTTGCATAGTAAGTAATCATGAAACGATAACTGGAGCCATACAGACCAATTACCTCCATATTAACATCACTGTATAAAACTGAGACAAACACCTCTCTATGGAAGATAGCACCTCACGCCAACACACCCAACACACACAGCACCACCTCCAATACACACACCCACAGTTGGTTAGGTCCAGATATCCTCTGAGTGTGGTGGAGGTGTTGATGCTACTCGTCATGAAAATGTGTGGGGAACCTACTTTACGCACAAACATTCTCTCATACACACCTTAACATACTTGCAAACATTATCAAATGAAACATGCAAAATAACTTTGATAAAAATAAAACACACTGATATTTCAATAAAACTAAATATTCAGAATAATAACAATAAAAATTAGGCATTTTTTACCTCTTGGATCCTTGTGAAGTATGACTCCTCTTTCACTACTTTATTTGGTCTAGTCATTACTAACATGTAGTAACATCTAGTGAGGCCAACTCCCAGATATTCCTCTCTCACTACTCTTGTATCTCACACACACACACATGCTATAATATACTACTCTCAACAAGCACATAGTCACACTACAATTGTATTATTTATTATCAAGCACTTTACTTAACTCTTAAAGTGTGAGTATTGTTATACAGTATATTGATTCATGGGGAAATGCAGTTATCATCATATGCTGATTTTAACTATTGTATTCTTGTCTGGTTTTTCTCTAATTGGTATTGATATCTGTGTACTCAAAAGTAATTGTTTTCCCATGTATATTTCCAATATCCTGTTTTTTTGTTATAAATGTAATGTACACATTTTGGTAGGTTAAAGTCTGCAAATTCAAAATAGTTGTGTCATTTATGTGGTGTCCCATCTTGTATTTGAAGTATATTTTTATTACAGTATATTACATTTGTCCTGTATTCCCATTTTTAAATAATGTATATACCCATACACAGTAAATATTGAAGAGAGATATTAATTGTGCAGTAAAAGAAGCAATGAATATCTTAAGATATTCAATTGGCACTTAGAAAAAATAAATCTACATACCTCTCTTTTTTGCTCTGAAGACGCTCCAACTTCTTTGCAACTTTGTACGATCCTTCTAACTTCTCACGTTCTTCATCACTCAGTTCAAGATATCTGTAGGATTCAAGTTCAACAGTAACATTAGGAATGAATGAATGCATGTATGAATATATGTACAGATTATGCACAGTATATGTATGTGTGTGTAATTACCTAAGAATAGTTACAGGATGAGAGCTATGCTCGTGGTGTCCCATCTTCCCATTAATCTTAGTCATATGATGCCTTGAAACTACTGATAGTTTGGATATCCAACATCTTCTCACATGAATTGTTCTGACCATCCACAACTCTGTTTGCAAAAGAAAACTTTCATACATTTTGTTGGCACCTTTGTTTCATTAGCTTGAATCTATGATTTCTTGTTCTTGAAGTTGTGGGTTGCAAATTTTCGTCTTACCTATTTTTGTCAATTCCTATTACTATTTTGTACATAACAATCAAACTGCTTCTTTTCCTCCTATCTTCCAACCTTGGCATTTTTAAAGTCACCAACTTCTCCTCATAGCTCATGCTCTAAAGTTCCTGAAACTATTTAGTAGCATGTCTTTACATCCTTTCAAGTTTATTAATGTGTCTCTTGATATACGGACACCACACCACTGCTGCATTATCTAATTTTTTGTCTCTTGGATGTTGTGAACAGTTTCTTTAATATTTCTCAGTCTGTATATTTAAACATGGTAGGCTTCTCTCACATAGAAGCCTTATGTTGTCCTTTGATGACAGATTACTAGCCAGAACCACTTCTAGATGCATTTCCTTTTCTGAGGTTTTCAATGTCGTTTTATAAACTTTGTAATTTAAATCTGGGCCTGTTTCTCTCTACTCCACATTCTATTAAATGGCATTTGTTTACATTTAAATTCCATATGTACCTGTATACCTGGTTTGTACTCGGATGGGTACTGGGAGTTCTTCTACTCGTCAAGCCCGGCCCAAAACCAGGTTTGACTTGTAAGAGTTTGGTCCAACAAGCTGTTGTTTGGAGCGGCCCGCAGGCCCACAAATCCACCACATCCCAATTGGTCCAGCACTTCTTAAAAGAAAACTACAGTACAATATCTAGTTTTCTCTTGAAGACTTTTTTCTCTTTTTCTCTTTCTCTTTTTCATCTTGAAGAAGATGAGGGAACCGGCGGCTGAGCGGACAGAACACTGGATGCGTAATCCTGTGGTCCTGGGTTCGATCCCGGGCACTGGCGAGAAACAATGGGCAGAGTTTCTTTCACCCTGATGCCCCTGTTACCTAACAGTAAATAGGTACCTGGGAGTTAGTCAGCTGTCATGGGCTGCTTCCTGGGGGTGGAGGCCTGGTCGAGGACTGGGCCGCGGGGACACTAAAGCCCCGAAATCATCTCAAGATAACCTCAAGATGTCTACATTTGTTCCAGCAATATTTCTTATACTTGCTGGGAGTATGTTGAACAACCTGGAGCATACCTGGATACCTGGAGATTTCTTCTAGTCCCCCAAGGTCTGCCTAAGGCCAGGCTCAGTGTTCTCTGATTGTGCCTATGGCATCTCTACTCTTCACTGGTTCTATTCTGCATTTCCTTCTGTATCTTTCGTTCCAGTATGTTGTTATTCTACTGTGCAAATTTGAGACCTGGCCTTCAAGTATCTTCCATGTACAGTATATATTATTTGTCTCTCTCTCTCTCATCTCCCTTTCCAAAGTATGTATAGGTACAAAGTATGTACTCCTTTCCAAAGAGTACACTTTGAGAGCTTTGAGACCTAATAATTTAGATGTTTTATCGTTTCTATGCATGCCATATATGTTCTCTGTATTTCTGTATTTCCTCTAATTCAGAGATCTCTCCTGCTCTGAAAGGGGAAGCAAGTACCAAGCAATACTCAAGCTGGACAACACCAGTGATTTAAATAGTATTAGTATTGCTGTAGGGTCCATGGATTTGAACGTTCTCATAATCCATCCTATCATTTTCCTGGCTGCCACTATATTTACTTGGTTATGTTCACTATATGTCAGGTCGTCAGACATCATAACTGATGTCTCTTACATGTCATGATATGAGTCTTACATGTTCTTTCTATGAGTAGGTCTGATTGTATCCTGTACCCTGTGTTTCATTTAAGTTCCTCGTTTCCACCATACTTCAACCGTGGACCTCTGATGTTCAAACAATGTTCTCTGATTGTGCCTATGGGACCCCTGCTCTTCACTGGTTCTATTCTGCATTTTCTTCCATATCATTCACTCCAGTATGTTGTTATTTTACTGTGCAGATTTGGGACCTGGCCCTCCAGTATTTTTCTTGTATAATTATTTGATATCTCACTCATCTCCTTTCTAGGGAGTACATTTGGAGAGCTTTGAGATGATCCCAATAATTTAGGTGTTTTACCGTGTCTATGTATGCTGTATGTGTTCTCTGTATTCCCTCTATTTCAGTAACCTCTCCTGCTCTGAAGGGGGAAGTAAGTATCGAGCAATACCTAAGATGGGACAGTACAACTGATTTTAATAGAACTGTACTTACAACCATTGTGATGGGATCCCTGGATTTGAAGGTTCTCGTAATCCATCCTATCATTTTTCTGGTTTGCACAATATTTGCTTGGTTATGCTCCCTAAACGCTAAGTCGTCAGACATCATTATTCCCAAATCCTTGACATACTGTTTTCCTACTATGGGCACATTTGATTGTGTTTTGTACCCTGTATTTTGTTTAAGGTCCTCATTTTTACCATACCTGAGTACCTTGAATTTATCAATGTTAAAAAACCAGCGTTGAATGTAATGAAACGCCATTTTCTGGGTGAGACCCGGAGGCTCCCCGGAGCTGATATGCTAATGTCAGACTTTGGCATCAGTCATGTGTATGGAGTTCTAGGGCCTACCGGGGACCACGAGCCAGAACCTGGCCCCCTCAGAGAGGCAAGGGGAGCAATGGCCTATAGAAACCCCCGTGTGGTTGGAAGCATTCTATGTCTGCCATCGACCGGGTCAAGCATCCAGAAAGGTAAGCATTCCAAAACAAACCCCTATTCTGGTGAAAATTGCTACCTAAGCCGAACTAGTGAATAGAACTCTTCAACAGAAAACACGGAAACTAGTATGACGTCATACGTCACCGCGCCGCTGTCTGCGCAGCTCCCCCCTCCCCGGGAGGGGGAAGGGGGAGCCCCAGACCTCCCACGCCGGCTATCCACCCATCAGTTCTGAGGCTGGATGTCAAAACACGCGAAAAACGCCGACCGGAGGGAGGGAGGGTTGCCGGGGAGCCTCCGGGTCTCACCCAGAAAATGGCGTTTCATTACATTCAACGCTGGTTTTCTGGGGGGAGCCCCGTCGGCTCCCCGGAGCTAACTACCCACAGAGGAAGGTCAAAGGGACAAAACCGGGAGGCGGACACCACGCACCCCCCAAGGAGGCGAGACAACCGGCAGCAAACGCCAACCCAAGGCGCCACAGCCCCGAAAATCCCGGGAACAACACGAGAACCACGAGCAGCAACGCCCCTGCACGAACACCAAAAATCCATGCCCGAAAGACTGCAAGGCCACGTCGCCCAGACGGCAGCGAGAGCAGCGAAGCCACGAACGCCACAGGCATGAGGGAAGAACACAGGCAGCTTAGCCACAAGAACACGGCTGACCACCCGGGACACCATCACCCGCGAACCGGGAAGAACAGAACCGGATCAACGCAAAACGCGCTCCGGACCCAAACGCCGTGGCACGCAAACAACAGCAGAGGGCCGCCACTGAACACAAAAACGACACACCCCCGGCCCGACCAACAAAGCACCAACAAACCCTGGACCCCTCCAGAATGCAGCAGCCCCACCCCGCGCCAGAAAAGATGGAGACTGCTGCCATCAAACAACCAAAACGCTAAAACCGAAGGAGCAAGAAAACACAGCGAACCGACCCCCAGAGGCAAAGGCCCAAAGGAAAGAGCCGACGAAAAAACACACCGGAACCGAAGGGGCACTACCAACCGAGGAGAAGACAGAGCACGCTGACCAGAGACCAGGATGGTGCAAGCGGCGCACGAACAGGCCGGAGGTGAAATGACGCACAAGACAGCTGACTAACGGTGCAGAAGCAACACCAAGACCGAAAGCAAGCTGAAGCGGCTCCGCCTGCGCCGCACGAAAAGAGGCGACAGTATGTGGCAAGACGACGGCCCCCAACCCCCACTAGAAAACCAAGCCGAGAGTAAACCAAGCCAACAAGAAGGACCCACCGAAGAAGGGACAGGAAAAGGAAGGACCGCCAAAATACCCCATACTGCCGCCAAGAAGCACGCAGGTGGGACACCTACCACGAAGCCACCCGACCACCAACCGGAGGCGAGACCACGAGGCAGAACATAAGCAGCCCCGACAAGGCCCCCCCCGAGCCCAGGAAAAAGGCGGAGCCGCGAGAAGATCTCGGGCGCGACCACCGAAACCCAGGCAGCACAAGGAGATGGAACGTCTGCCGAACAGAAAAACTCCGAAGCATGCAAGCCCGCCAGGAGTTCAGAAACGACGGGTCCGACGCGAGACATCGCAAGAACCCCCCCAAAAAAAATAAAACAACAACAAAAACCGGCAGGGCAAGCTAGGAAAACCAAAGAAGGCGGAAGGGTCGCCGCCAGAACAGGACCCGAACCAAGGGGCCCGAACAACTGCAACAGACCGAGACAAAGAAGCACATCACAGGACACAGGCTGACCAACGCCTAAGAACACACGCAGAACATTCCTGCTGCAGAAGAGGCAGGAAGAAAGAGCAGAAGCACAAAAAAAAAAAAAAAAAAAAAAAAAAACCAGGAGAACAACCAGGGGTGGACAATCAGGCAGGGACAAAAACCCCACGCAATCCCCAGGCACAAAACGGCAGCAAAGCGCCACTCCACAACCGGACACAGGAACAAGGACACGCCACCGTGAAACACGGTACCAATGCTCACGTGCAGCAGCAGCAGCAACAGGCACCACTGCAACATGCAACATGTAAATAGCAACTCCCCTCTGCAAAGGCAGAGAACGGAGCAGGCAGACCCCAGACAGGGCCAACGGAGACACGACAAAACCC